TCACCATTTTATAGTGTGTTTTGACATCTGGTAGAGCAAAGAAATCACTATTCTTATTTTTCAAAATTTTCAAATGATATTCATTGATAGTTCTTTCTAACTTTGCAGAGTGAAGGCAAGTTTATAGCCAAAGAATTGAGCTTGAATTCCAATTCTGCCATTTGCTAGATGTGTAACTTTGGGCAAGTTACTTAAGTTCTATGAGCCTTAGTGGCCTCATCTGTAAATGATGAAAGTACCTAATTCTCTGTGAGACATACTGAGTTAACATGTGAAAATGTTCATTACAGTGCCTGGAATATAGCAATTTCTTACAGGTTATGAACTATAATTAATGGTTGAGGAAAGACTGCAAGTGAAATTAAATTATTATCAAATACATCTGTTAGGTCAAGCAATGAGCTTTATTGTAGAGATAAGACAAAATAAATATTGAGGCACAGAAATAAATACACATGTAAGAAGAAAAAGCAGAGAAGTTAAGTATCATGACAGAGAAAAACAGAGGGTCCAATTTGTTAACAGAAGAGTGTTACCTGATATACTCATCATATACCCATTGCCATCAAGTCGATTTCGACTCATAGCAACCCCACAGGACAGAACAGAAATGCTCCATGGGATTTCCAAGGATCACCTAGTGGATTCAAACTATGCGACCTTTTGGTTAGCAGCCAAGCTCTTCACTACTGAGCCACCAGGGCTCCGCTACCTTATAGTCCTGGTGTAGTACCATGAAAGAGTGATAAGAACCTTAAAACATAAGTAAGAGCTATCCAAATGAGGAGTATAAAGTAAACATGATCCAGGAAGAGAAAAGTATATGCTTCTAATCTTAGAGTTGAAAGATAATGTGATATGTTTAGGTCCAAAAACTAATAATGATAAAAATAGTTCTTATTCATTGAAAATCTACTATGTACCAACTGTTGTTTTAAATACTTTGCATTTACATCATCTCATTTAATTCTCATGAAACTTTGAGGTAGGTGATGTTCCAATGGAAAATTGAGGTTTCTGTGTTCAAATAATTTTGCCAAGGCTGAACAAGTAGTGCATGCTTAACACACGATTCAATCTTATGTTGTTCCTAATCCAGAATCTTCAGTTTAAATATTCACTCCACAGTTTCTCCATTGAACAAGTTGGAAACTGACACTTGGAAAACTCCCAACAGGTATCTTGCTGTTGCCTCAACTTAGATGCAGTCTATGGTAGGTCAACATTGTCTTTGGGGATTTTATTTCTCTTATGACTACAGAGGAACGTGAAGATGTAGAAGTTGGAAGTAAGTGTTTGGTGAATAGGAAAGAACATGGGATTCTATTAAAATGAGTATGTTTGTATATGTTAATAATCATTATTAATAAATACATGATGATGTGCTCTATAAATGTTTTTTAGGCTGTGCACTGAATGTAGGAAGAAATTTTACCCTACCAGTTGCCACTGAGTTGATTCTGACTCATGGCCACCTCATATGTATCAGAGTACAATTGTGTTCCATAGGGTTTTCAATAACTAATTTTTCAGAAGTAGATCTCCAGGCCTTTCTTCCTAGGCACTTGTGGGTGGACTTGAATCTCCAACCTTTAGTTTAGCATCCAAGAATGTTAACCATTTGCACCACCCAGGGACTCCAATTTTACACAAGGTAAATATACATTAAAGAATTCTAACTCCTTTACTTGGAATTCTTTTGCCAATTCCTTTGATTCTGACATTTTTCAACACAGAGTTGCATGATATCAGCACATTTAATGTCACTTTCTGTTCCCCAGCCCTTCTTCACCGATCTCTGCTATCAAATTGTCTTCATACAAATTAAACAGAATGCTGTTAACAGCCACGCTTATTTGTTCCTCCTCTTGTACAAGAATGTTTAAGGGGTTTACAAATTGAGAGAGGTGTAAATGTTAAAATCAGGAAGATAAAAGTCCAGAAGGGAAGATGGGATTAATTTTTAAGCTACCTTACCCGAGACAAATGTAATCATTGCCACAAAAGAAGTACTAAAATGTTGTTTATTTGTCATAGATGATCTCTCTGCATGGGCTGGGAATTTCTTTAGCTAATCAGTAAAATCCTGGCCAATTTTAAAAAACCTATACATTTTTTCTGGAGCCCTGGCTGTACAGTGGTTAAGAGCTCGGCTACTAACTGAAAGGTTGGCAGTTCGAAGCCACCAGCCACTCCTTGGAAACACTATTGGGTAGTTCTACTCTGTCCTATAGGGTCACTATGAGTTGGAATTGACTTAACAGCAACGGGTTTTTATAAACGGGTTTGTTTATTTTTCTGGGTTCCACTTCTCTCCCAACATTTTCTCATATTTCTCATTTAACCAAATTGCCTTGGCAACTGATTCACCTGGACTTTTTAAACTTAAGTAAACCTAGAGCAGCAGGCCAGATACTGGCTTCTTGCCAACAGTCCATCACAAGCGATTCCCTCTTTCTGAATTCTAAATTCAGCCTACCATTTGTCATGTAATATTATGCATAAAGCTGCCAAAGCCACTATTCTTCCATGTTTTAACCATTATCAGTATTGATCTCTATCAGCTTTCTACATCTTGTCTTCTTTAGCATGATATCATCCTGTTGGACATGTTCACAAACTGTACTCTTCTACTGAACACTTCCCATTGCTTCTCAGGTTACCTTTAGGATTTACCAGTAGACCTGCCATGTCATTATGCAACTCATATCTACTACTCTATGGACTCTTTTAAACCTACCCACTCTGACACTTATATTACCGTTGCTGATTACCTGGTCTGTCAAAGACCAAATAGAGAGCACTTTGTACATTCCAGTATGCATTGTAAGTTAATGCCTGTTGGGTGATCAAAGGGTAAAGCGAAGCCTGTGGTCACTATTCCTAGATGAAGTGGTTTCAAAGTCTTATCCAAAGTTTTATGCAGTCTCCAAAAAAGTAGAGTTTGGTAGTGTACAGACCCTATACATTTGAAGCAGAGCTTTGTTCCCATGTGACCTCACTGCTTTTGACCACATTATTTAATCTGCCTTTTATTTAACCTTTATATATGCCTTCTACAGGAAGTACTATGATGAAGCAAGAAAAAAAAAAAAAACAACATATAAGCTGGGATCTGAAAAGGCTGGATTTACTTTCCAATTATGACACATATTGGTATAGATGTGACTCTGAAAAATTTCCTCCTTTGATGTTATTTTCCTCTTCTATAAATAGAGGCAATGACAGACTCTATTTATATGGAAGATCAGATTATTTGCCTACATGCAAAATTATGTGGTTGGCACAAAATAAACACTAATATTCATTTTGTCTCTTCCATTTTCTTCCTTTCACCCTCTGAGATTCAGACATAAGTGTTTTACCCCAAATTTCAAAACTCATCACAGTATTTAAAACATTTCCCCAAACCTTCATCATTGTCCTAATTCTACCATTCTTACTATTTAAAGTATACTTCAATAAACCTAAATCAGGTCAGTCCATTCATTTATCTAAGTTTAGCCAACTAATGTATAAACATGTGCTAGAGAATTAACTGAATCTTTTATTTCTGTTTCTTCAGTGTCTAGCATCATGTGCAGTACATCACTGTTGTTGTCGTGTGCTGTCAGGTCAATTCTGACCCATAGAGACCCTATTGGACAGAGTATAACTGCCCCATAGAATTTCCTAGGCTGTAATCTTTACGAGAACAGATGGCCAGATCTTTTCGCCCCTGAGGAGCAGTTGGTGAGTTTGGTTAGCAGGCGAGCACTTAACCATTGTGCCATCAGGGCTCCCTTGTACACTAGGCATTCATTATTAGATGGTCATTGATCGACACTCCAGTACCATGTACCTGGACACCTTCCTTAATCCTATTTGAGGTCTTCATTTCCTCTGACTCCCTTCATTACTAATTATAACTATAACAATAGCAAAAACTGTAATAATAATAATAATACATAAATTGGTATATAATTTTCAGTCTGTAGGTATACTTTCCAATATATTATTTCATGACATCCTAACTGCACTCTTTTAAGGTGCATATACCTAACAGGCACAATTGTATATCCGAATTTTTATCTTTTTAAAATTATGCTTTTTATTGATTATGGATGTAGTATTTTCTTTATTTTATGTTAAGGACTTTGACAAAATGCTTAAATTTTTTGAGTAACAAGGTTCACGCAGCTTTTAAGTAATGGAGCTAGGAACAAAATCTAGATCTTCTGAGTTTGAATCCAGTTGTGTTTCTGGTATATGATTCACCTACCAAACTTACAACTTTCTCGTGCCAAATTAGAACACTTGTGGATATAAATTTATGTCTTCTTTGTTAGAGTGCCCAGATTATTTCAGTGGCTATTATTTCTCAAGGATACAATATAATGACTACCAAGGACTTCACTGCCCTACATATTTTGGTTATGTCTTTTAAATTGATTCATAAGCCCATTGCTTTATTACATTACTAGTGCATTGATTAATTTTACAAGGATTTTTGAGGTATTACTTCTTTACTTGACACTTTGTTTCTTCTGCACCTCATTGCCCAGGATATTCTAAGGCTAAATGTTAGATCACCTTAAAAAGATTGTTATCAATATACTTTTTTTCAGTCCATTTATCTTTCCTGGGGCCCAATTTACTCTTCAGCCTTCACATGTAACCTTATTATATTTACATTTTTAATTTACATTTAATTAATTAGGTCTTCTTAATCATTTAAATATAAAAAAAGAACATCAAAGTCAAAAAAGGACAGAATCTCACCTTCATCATTGTATTTTATCAGCATATTAATTTTGTAAGTGAGGTGGGTAAAGAACATTATTAGTATAACAATATATTCAATCAGGAAATTAAGATTTAATATAATCAAGAGACTTCTTTAATTGACAAGATTGTGTTAAGAACCCACATTTTCTAATTTATAATCTAGTATTTATATTTTTAGTTAGAAGCTACTCCTACATCCTATGTTACAAATATCCCATAAATATTGATTTTACCTGGTAGAATGAGAGTTGCACAACATAGAAAATGGAAGAGATGGTAAAAGATCTTCATTCCTTAGAAAGAAGCTGCTGAAGATTTGGTAGCAGTCCTTTGGAAGATAGAGAGCTTTCAAAAAGCCATGAGACATTTCCTATTTATAGTTTTCTAGTGAAAGAGAAATGTTCTTCACCCGGAAATTGTCTTAATTTTGTGTACCAGTCTCTGCTCCATTGAGTAGGGCTGTGGCTGTGGGCAGAGTTGCCCAAGTTGAAAACACTTGAAATTAATTGATCTTTAGAGTGGAATCTCTATGTAGATCAGAACTGTAACCATGCATCCTCATCTTAACGATGGACAAGAAGACCAACACAAAAGGGCATGCACAGAGTGAGTTTAAGGGAAATGTTAACTTACCATTTAAGACGTAAAACAACTGAACATTACCATATGTTTAAACTCCTGGTTACTTCTCAAAACATATTCTCATCACTAATTTGGTGTGTAAATTAAACAATATGTCCATATGTCCAAACTCCTTACTTTTATTCAGTTATCTCATTAATTTTCCCTAAATCGCTTATCGATCAAGGGCTGAATACTAAGCTTCACTTTTCTCATTATTATTTTCTTTAACTTTTAAATTTTCAGATCCAACATAAATAGTTACAGCTCTCCATTTTCCTAGGAAAGCCCAATAAATTTCCATTTACTTTTTAAAGTTGTTATCACAGTAATACATGTACAAAATAAATAATGACAGGAGACCTTGAATAGCAATAATTTCCCAACTCAAGTTCCCTAATGTCTTATTTTCAACCCTTTGGGGATCACTAACATAAGAATTACAATTTAGTCTATGCCTTGTCTTGGCTTAGTAATTATAGAGTACACCTTTTGATTTCCATTAAGAAAAATGTAGATTTAGATCACTTAGATTCTCTCCTGTGCTGCACTCCTCCTCAAATCTCTGAAAACTATATTATTTTATTTTATTTTTATTGAATTTAGATGAAGGTTTACATAACAAAATAGCTTCTCATT